TTCTGAGTGCTTTCCAACCCGAGGGGCTCATCTTCCAGCACTATATCAGACAATGTTTCACGCTATTCATAAGTTTTCCAGTAGTGTATCAGCCAGTGTTTCATTTATAGTCACGAAGTTTTCGGTGACCAGCTTTTTCAGAAGTGGATGACCCTGTCCTTCTCCCCAGTGTGTCTTCGTGTGGAAGCTCCGCTGAAACCTGTGCACCATGGGTGATCCTGCTGGTATTTGAAATACCGGTGCAATAGCCTCCAGCCTCACAGCAACATGCAAGCTACTACAGTATGACAGACTGACAGACAAGTGGTGGCATCTATATCTTAAGCTTCCAAAATTCTACTAAACACGAGATGACTTTTTTCCATCCTGTTCCTCCTACATACCTCTGTCATTTTAGGTGAGGAAGGTCGTTGAGCTTTCCTCATCAATCAGATTTTGGTTTGTCAGTATTTCAGCTATAACCAGCATTCACCAGTTTTGTTCTCACTAAGCGCACCTCTCCCACCCCTGCTTTGTTCATGCTCTGTGCTGACCTATGGGCAGCAGAACTCAGTGGGTAGCTGAGGAGCATTAAGGCAGAAAGAGGGGGAAGGTCTCTTTGTCACTGCTTCTGCTTCTACTTCACAGTATGGTCTTGTTTGTTCACTTCATTGCCACTGCTGCCTCCAGACTCCATCTTTGCCTGTTTCTTGGGTGCTCATGTAACCCCTGTCTCTTCTCTCCCTCCCACACCCAAGAGCCCTTGACTCCCTGCAGCCATTCTCACATTTCCTGCCCCACCATCATCACTACCATACCATTGACTTACCTGAAACAATGTGAACAAATCTGCACAAATACAAACATAAACCGAAAGTTGAAATGTAGAACAGTTCTTCAATATGTCCTTTTTCGTAAAGTGCTGTTTGCTCATCAGCTGCTTTTCTACTTCAGTTTGCACATGATTTTCCCTCAGTTAACACTTCTATCCATTACATTTACGGGTCAATCTTTTTAGGTGTAAGGTCCAAGGACTAGTTCTGAGTAATAATTATTTAATTAGGGCTAACAGCACAATTGAAGGCTTTGGTGGCACAGTGCCTAAGGCATTTGACAGTAACCAGAAGGTTGGTGGTTCCAACCCCCCAGCTGCACCATGGAAGGAAGACTGGGCAATCGACTTCCGTAAAGATTTAGCACCTTGGAAACCCAATAGGGGTTGCTATGAGTCTGAATCTACTAGATGGCAGTGGGTTTGGTTTGGAATAGCACAATTAAAGGTTTTATTAGTCTATGTTTATTGGCATTAGCCTATGTACACCTTTAAATGAATGCCAACCTAACTACAATCCCATGGCTCCTAGAGTGTGCAGTGAAGCACCCGGGCATGCACTAGGGAAGTCATGGGGCATTGTGGGATATTTTAAAATTTTGAGAGAAATGCAGTAACACTTGACATCTATGAGACACCTTGAGAACTTCTAGCTCATGGTAGTGCACAGTGTCAACAGTAGGTGGTGCTACATTCTTTTCAATTATACCATTTATTTATGAAGCTGAACTTTCCAGTGTGTTAAGGTAAGGAAGATGGGGCAATCTACTTCCGTAGTGATACTGCCTCGGCAACCCAAGGAGGGGTCGCTATGAGTTGGGTCTGATTCGACTGCACATAACAACAACAACAAGGTACGTGTAAAAGGAGCTCTGGTGGTGTGGTGCCTAAGGCATTTGACTGCTAACGAAAAGGCTGGCAGTTCAAACCCACCAGCCACTCCACAGAAGGAAGATTGGGCAATAAATTTCTGTAAAGATTTACCTCCTCGGAAACTCAAAGCGTGTCTCTATGAGTTGGAATCCACTCCATGGCAGTGAGTCTGGCTTTTTAAGGTAAGTACAAAGAGCTGTGGTGGTGTAGTGGGTAAGGCATTTGAGTGCTAACCAGATTGTGGTTCAAAGCTCCCCTGCCCCCAGCTACTCGGTGGAAGGAAGATGGGGCAATCTACTTCCGTAAAAATTTACAGCCTCGAAAACTCAATGGGGGTCACTATGAGTCAGAATTGATTATGTGGCAGGGAGTTTGCTTTTGGTTGTGAAAGTGAGTATAGCATCAAAATCAATGTGGAAAAGAAAATGAAGGTGGTGGTGTCCAATCTGACTGAGTAGCTGTGCAGTACTCGATACTTACAAATATTCCATCATAAGTAACTAGGTTTATTTAAAGGATACCATTTAAAAAATATTTATTTCTGTTAATTTACATATGTTATTTTTTTCAAATGGCTACTAAGTTGTTCCACCACCTGTCAGTTTGGCACACTGTGGTGACTTGCATGTTACTGTGATGTTGTAAGCTATGCTACTGATATTTCAAAGACCAGCAGGGTCACCCATAGAGTTTCAGTGGAGTTTCTAGACTAAGACAGTCTAGGAGAAAAGGCCTAGTGAACTACTTCTGATATAAGCCAATGAAATCCTACGGCTCTTAACAGAATATTGTCTGAAATACGACACAGGCTGTGCTAATTTCATTCTGCTGTACATGAGGTCACTATGACTTGGAGCCAACTTGAGGGCACCTAACATCAACACCAAGCTGTTAGAAAAAAACATACTTATTAAGTTGCTTGGACCTAACTACTTAATACAAGGAGCTGTTAGGTATTCCTTTTGGGCACTGTGAAAAATTTACTGAGACTTCAAGGGCACTGCGAATCAAGACAGTGTTGGAATCTTTGCTGTATCCTTTTGTTCTCTGATGACAAATAGCTCTAAAGACTGGCTTGGGAAAAGCTCTTCTCTCCAGTGCAAGAACCCCTCTTCCTCACATCTGATGTAGTTACTTCAGCAACTAGGACAATTTTGAGTATTGCCGTTGACTTTTTCCCTTTAGCTAATATTCTTTTATGTATTGTGATTTCGAAGATTTCAAAGAGGTGGGAGAGGTACCAGAGATAAAGATGATAGTAGGTAAGAGAGTTTATCTAGCTGTCAACAAAATACCCCTGTATACTATTCAAGTCAAAGTTGCGGTTATGAAGGGATTTTTGCCATTCTTCTCTGGATTTCCCACCCACTGAGAGATCCTTTAATTACCCCATTTTACTTTTGCAATAACATAAAGATCAGTATTCCACTTGAATGCATTACAGATTGACTTACTAGAGCAAGGCATATGACTATTAACCAGAAGGCTAGTGGTCCAAACCCACCAGCCACTCCTCAGAAGGAAGGTTGGGGAATCTACTTCTGTAGTGATACCGCCTTGGAAACCCGAGGAGGGGTTGCTATGAATAGGGTCAGACTCGACAGCACATAACAACAACAAAAACAACAACATATGTAAACCTTTCCTTGAATTTTTACATAATCCTAAAACTGATTCTTAGGTGGTTTTATCCATTGCTGCTTCTAGTATGCTGAAATATACTGGCCCTTCTTTAGAAATATATATATATATATATGTATATGTATATATGTATGTGTGTGTGTGTGTGTGTGTGTATATATTTAAATGTAAAATGGCATCACTGTTTGAGAAAGGGCAGAAAAGAAAAAGACAGGATCAATCACTTAGACATAACAGTTTTAAAAACTTGACCTGTGACAATAATGCTATTTATGTTGTAAAAAGTGCTTAAAAGATCATAAAGTTATTCTCTTTTCCTTTGTGAAAAAGCAACTACAATTCTATTAGTGTTATCTAGATCTCACAAAGCAAATAGAATAAAGTACAAGTAAGAGAACTTTTTTTTTTTCTTTTTGGTAGTCACACACAGCTTGTGAATTTCACAGCAAATACATGGGCAGATCCTTTGGAATCTATGTTGACTTTCACTCTGCCACTGAATACTTCCTTTCTACTCTACTTTGTAGTAATAATTCACTTCATTGTAACAATGCCTGGTTACCTCAGCCCAAACCATGGGCGGCTTCCCTTCGTTTACAGTGCAATATACTTAAAAAGACTATTTCCACAGTTCCTCAGAGCTGTCTGATCACACATTGAAGTGTGAACATGCAGCCCTTGGAATCTGCAACCATTACATTATTTACATGATACCTTTATAGAGATGTTTTAATGTCGTAGCTGTAACCAGAAACCAAGGTATTTTATCATCTATAAAATGTCATAATGTTTGACTATGTAAGGGGGGTAGGACAGTTATTTTTCCTATCAATACCATATTATGAAACACAGAACCTGAAAAGCAAACAGATATCCTGCAATATGAATGTAGCTGATGATAAAATTTCAGGGAAATCCTGGTGACAATAGAACCCATCTCTCTTTCTGGGACTCAGCTCCAGTAATCTGCAGGGGCCTAGAATGAGCAAATCCTCCCCACTCTACACCCTGGAGTCAATCACATGGTCAGATGCTATATGGAAGCAGCACCTTAATACAACCATTGTTCTCTTTTCCCAACCCCCCCTCCCCACAACTAAATCCCAGGATTTCGAACTGCCTGTTATATGGGACAAGAAGAAACAGCGCAGCAGGACCACTGCCACCAAGTCTAAGGCAGCAGGGTCTCATGAGCACAAAGGGCCAAGAATGAGCAGTGTGTTAAGCAGGAGAGTAATGAAACAGTTAATTTGAACCTGGCCAAAGGACTAATGCTCAGAATGTTTGCTTTCAGAATGAGAAAAAAGAACTTTCCATGCCTTGCAGCCTAATCGCTCTGTTCCTATTTTTAATACAGCCCACTTTATAGAATAGTTGGACCACATTTTTAAGCTCAAGTAAAAATGAAAGGATTTATGATAATCCTAGGCGCATAGTTGTGGACGTTTGATTTTCAACGGGAGCATTTTCGCTTTCTTTGTTACAGTGCTAACAGTTCTCAGCTTCTTGCTACAGTCTTCTTCTTGAAACTACTCAAGTGCAAAAAGTCTTACCAGATAAGCAACACTTCTTAATGTATGGGGGAATATAGTTCACATCCTCCCTGTCTGCTTAGCAGGAGTAACTTCCTCAGGCTTTTACAACCAGAATGTCAAATCGCCCAAAGGAATCCTACCTTGCCCACATACTGATAATCGGATCCCGTGTATTCCTCCAGGAGAAAAAACTGGTTCCACATCCAGCTCCTTTTTGAACGGTTCAGCTCATTTCTGCTGTTTCCAGAGAGCTCCAGGGTCCTTTTCTTTGCCGGCAAACCACTAGTCCTCTTAGACACGGGAGTTGAGAAAGTTGGGTAGGGCTGACCAACCCAGAAAAGCAGCAAGAAATACCGATAAGTTCTCATGCTGATGACACTGTTGAAGCTTTGGGTAGTGAGTCGCCCCCTCCTCGAAGTGCCTTCTTTCACTGCACCGGATCCAGCCTCATTCCTCCTGTCTTCCTCAATGTTCTTTGCTGGCTCTCAGAGGATATCTGGAAAGAATAATAACATACCAAGTGTTTTTAAAGATGCTTAAAATTCAGCGTGAGAGCAAATAAACCAGAGAGAAAGAGGACAGAAATTTGAATAGCAAAAAAACAACAAGTTGGCTATCAAGTTTGAACTCAGGGAGACCGGTCTTTCAGATGTGCTAAATGGAAGGGGTATGTAAGAAGCTGCTGTGTCCCTTCTTCCTGATCATTTAAAGACCTATTTTAGGTAATAGCCTTGCTGTGGGTCAACATGGTGGAGAGGATGACCTCAATAATGCTGGTGCACTGAGACCTGGTTAGAAGGAGCGAGTTTGTGTGTGTTTGCATGCTTCTTCTCCTGAAGAAGTCCAAGGCAGAGACTAACAGAAAATTCCAGGTCAGTGGAAATAAAGTTGAAATTCCCCTAGAAGGTACTGAGCACCTGGGATGTGCCAGGCATGAGTGAGGGCAGACTCTGTTTCAGAAAGATGCTGGGATGGAGCGGTTCTGGATCAAATAAGGTTGGAAAAGACCACATGACTTCTCTCCCAAATGCATATCAGCATATTGCAGTTTCTGTGACATTTGGCAATGATGATGATGACAATAAAATTATATTTAATCCCGCATTTTAAGTCCAGAAAACTTGCTTTTTTTTTCCCTCCTTATAAGACCTAATAACTCTACATCAGTAACAGTCGAAGGAGCTCTGGTGGCTTAAGTAAAGGGCTGGTGGTTCAAACCCACCAGCTGATGCATGGAAGAAAGATGAAGCTGACTGCTTCTGTAAGGATTTACAGCCTCAGAAACCCAATGGGGGTCTCTGTGAGTCAGAATCCACTTGATGGCAGTGAGTTTGTTTGAGGACCAGTGGCTGTCGAGTCTACATTGATTCATAGCAAACAAATATGTGACAGAGTAGAACTGAGCCCCACAGGGTATTCATTGGCTGAGTTTTTGTAAGTACATCACAAGACCCTTCTTCTGAGGCACCTCTGGCTGGACTTGAATGCCCAACTTTCTTGTTAGTAGCTGAACAATTTAATTGTGTCACCCAAGGACTCTTTCTTCTTCATTTTTAATGGGTTAATGAAAACCTTATGGTATTTGTACTTGGTAGAACATAAGAATTTAATGAACACTTCTATTCAAATTTCATTGGAAACTGCTAAGCTTTTACCTCTAAATTTTACTTGTATCATAACCAATAAGGCACATATATTAACATTGCTCTTACAGTATCTATGTAATTGTCATAGGTCCATTAAACATATCTTGATATCACAAAGCGGGCAGTGGACTACCGGATCTTCAAAAATCACCTATTCTACTGTTGGGTAACAATTTTCCATGACAATCTTAAACCTAGCATTTAAAAAATCCCTGGGGCCACACTACTTGGCATGGATGTTCCAAATTGGCTTACTAGTTTATGCAATTAAAGTAACATGTTTCTATAGGCGCTTCCTAAACTTTCCCAGATTTCTTGGAAGAAAAGAATCCAATCAATCATTTACTCCTTGATCTTACTATTTGATATAGGATAATATTTTCTTCAAAAACCAAAAATATTTTCTTAAACAATGCTAAATACACACACAGACACACACACACACATGTATATATATCTATATCTGTATCTACGTCTATATCTATATCTATATCTATATCAAGTGCTTCCTAGGGCACAATGTAATAGTAATTGACCAGTTACGTTGACAGCAAACAATGCAGGTAAAGAAAATGCAGATAAAGAAATAGATTTTAGGTCATCTGATAAGTCTTTTAGGAGCTCTGGTAGCATAGTGCCTAAGGCACTTGACTGCTAACCAGAAGGCTGGCGGTTCAAACCCACCAGCCTCTCCTCAGAAGGAAGGTTGGGTAATTCTACTTCTGTAGTAATACTGCCTCGGAAACCGAAGGAGGGGTCGCTACGAATCGGGGCTGACTCGATGGCACATAACAACAACAATGATAAGTCTTTTATTTTTCTCTATATCAGAAAAGATTTGTCACTTGGCTCCTATTATCTACAGGTTAATGTACGTGTGATCATTCTTTTTTCCCCAAGCAATAAGTAATTATAGCCATGCCACTTAGTGAGAGCTTTTTGTTGGCATATATGTGAAATATTTCATAGTGCTCAGCATTTTAAAATCTTTATTTCATTATCATGCATCTTCTTGACAGCAGGCTGGGGAAGTTACAAATTCCACAGGTGAGTAAATTAGTACCATGACAATTAGCCCTTCTGGAAAAATGCCAGGCAACAGTATACTGTCATTATGTGGCTTTGGTACAGGTGGGGAGAGACTGATGATCAATTAGGTGGCAATGTTTCTGCTCTCTTCTCATGGATGGTGTATAGAGGGGACTCAGAGAGCATATGGAGAAAGGCCCTCTACAGACACCCATCATTTGTAGTAGGAAAGATGGCACTGAGGTTTCTTTGTGGAAATTGCGTTTGTCTTGATTTCCCACATTCTCCATTATTTGCATAGAGAAGGCCTGCAGTGAAGAATTACATGTCTGCAGCTGCCCTG